GAAGTCATGCTGTTCAGTTGAGTTGAGTTCTCCAAGTATCATAATGTGACAGTAAAGTAAGTTTATATTTTTATATATTTTCTCTAAGTATATTTTATTGGTCAAAAGGTATTCTGCTTGACATTTCTCCTACCTAAATTAATGTATTTAATTCTTTAATAAATTTATATTTTGTTTTTATATATATTGATTGTTTTAATGATCTTCGATACCTAAAACGTCCCTAGCCGCAACCCTCTAAAACGGGGTCGCGACATTATTACGTGTGTTTTGTGTCTTTTGAAGTCAAGTGGAGGAAAAATCGAGTGAAAATTAACTGTAGACCCAGAGCACAGTTTATGGTTAATATTCGCTGCCCAGGCAGAAAGTCTAAGGGCGGATTTACCCAATTCCTTAATTGCTATTCCTTAATTCTTATTTCTTATTCGCTAAATTATAAAAAGATAAAATACGTGTTATGCAGTTAGTTTGGTTATACAATGTCTTTATGTCAATTAATTCTTAATTCTTAACCACGGTTCGTAATTCTTTATTTTGAAATATAATTTTTATTGTTGTCGATCCAATAATATATAATGTGTTCTTTTTTTATAAATTTGATTAGGATCGAAAGAAATCAACAGAAGTCCTTTTTTTTAAATTTGTCGACGTTTCGCAAAATTTATTTGCATCTTCAGGACACTACAAAGTTAAGAGAGCAAAAATTACAATCAAATAAAAGTTTTTTTCAAAAAATTTAACAAACAACTTAAAATACATATCAGTGGAATTCCACACATATACAATTGGTAAAACTACCTAATGTTAACAATTAAAATAAAATATATGTATATGTTACTCACATTTAAATCTGGACTTTCTTAGTCATATCCATTAATACACGGATGGTATAGAAGGAGTGGTAATATCCCTTTTTTCCTTTTAAAACACATAACACACTTACATAAAAAAAAAAACATATAACACAATTATGTATAGAGAAATATCACGAAAATCTTTTCCTTTCACAGACAAGCAGTGCAGATGTACCTACGTTGACCGTATACAGAGAGCAACTAATTCTAGTTGATAAAATACTAATATAATTTTTACCTGGAGATTAATTAATTATATTAATTAATCTCCTCTTTGTAGTGTCCTGAAGATGCAAATAAATTTTGTGAAACGTCGACAAATTTAAAAAAAAAGGACTTCTGTTGATTTCTTTCGATCCTAATCCAATTTATAAAAAAAGAACACATTATTTATTTTGAAAGTTCCCAACTTTTAACTTTTTAGCGATTACGAATTAGCGATTAAGGAAAACGTGTAGATGCGCATGCGTGAAATTTTGAAATGTTAATTTTTTGTGTATTTTGTGAACTGTTGTTCGTCCCATTCCAAGGAAGGCATGTCTTGTATTAGAGTTCCAAAATTGCCTTCCATGTCCTTTCTTCTATTCATGGGGCGAACCCCAAATCGCCTACAACCTCGGTGGCGAATCACGAGAGTAGCGACACAACAAGCCATGGTTATAAACAAACCCGAAAGTGGTGCAATTTTTTGTATGGACCTCATTGCACACAATAACACAGCGAAATAAAAACGATTTGATTTGATCTACTAGTGTCAGTTTTAAGAATTAAGAAATAAGGATTAAGACATTGGATAACTGTCTCTAAAAAAATAAGGGATAAAGAATTGTGTATTAAGAATTACAAATTAGAGACTAAGAAATAAGAATTAAGGAATAGCAATTAAGAAATTGGGTAAATCCGCCCTTATACACCAATGAAGTTGCCATCGATAAAGTTTGTATACCATTTCGTCGTAGATAAGTGCATCTCGTATATGGTAGAAGGATCAAACTAAACACATACTAAAAACTGGAGTAGCTGTAAAATATCGAAATCACACGATAGGTAAATAATGGATTTTAGTACTGCAGAAAAATAATGTCAAAAGGTACTGGTTTAAAAAAATTAAGATTAAAGTTAATTAATCAACCTTTAAGGTATAACATTTGGTACGTGTTATTACTAATAAAATAGTTTGTTTTATTTACCTATGTTGTTTTATTTATTCCAGTGGAATATTACAAATTTGTATTTGTACATAAGTTATATTGATAAATATAATCATAAATGCGGGTAGTTTCATAAAGCTTGAAAGTAAATAATAGTTCTTTTTTATATTTTTTTGGTATGTAGTGTCTTATTCTTGTTTGTTTTGTATTAACACATACCGTTTTTATTAAATAAAATAACTCGATTACATTTTTTCAGTTTTATACAGTTTTTTTCACAATATTTTGAAGTAATCACTTGTCATCTTGTCAATCAAATTATAAATATTTCCTGCTATGCGTTCCAGTTGTAGCAACTTATTTCTTTGTAAAATAAAATAAACTACTTTGAAATTAAAATGACAGACACATCTATCACTGTCAAGGATCTTCTCGTTGGACACACTATAGTAAAAGATCTGATGTAAGTAAAAACTCAGTTACTTACAAAATTGGTTTAAAATTGATTTGTTAAATTGTTTAGTTAATGATTCATGCTATTTTCTATCCAACCCCTCATAATAAAAAATATTGAAGGCACGTATAGCTAATAAATCCATTAAAAAATATTTACGATTTTTGAGAGATATTTTCAATTTGCCCGACATGCCTGACAGGCACAAGGGGAGATGTGACAGCTATGGACCGTCAGGCACTCCCCTAGGTCGTTATCGTAATACATCATCATATAAGCGGTATTTATATCCCCAGAGATACAATAGATGTCAATATATTATTTACAAATTAAATATTTCAAAAAATATATGTTTGTTTTGTATCTATTTTTATGTTGTTGTGAAAGGCTGTCCCAAACATTTTCTATTGATAATTCTTAAATCGTTAATTTTTAAAAAATTAAACTTATACCATTAAATTCTACTTAAAAAGATGCTTTGGAAATGTTTTCATAAAAATACAAAATTTTCCATAGCAAAAAAATGGCTTTAAAAAATGCACATTATTGAAAAACACCCTCTAACTCCAAAAACGGTAACTGATACTGATGTTCGGTTATTACCATCATGTTTTGATAAGAATTGAGCTCCAGACACTGATATTAGTTTTCGTCTATCTCAGAAAAGTGTATTTTCCTTTAAAAATGTCGAATTTCGCCCACCCTGTACAACCAAATGATGCCAAAAAATGGATTAAAGAACATAAAGATTACTTAAGAAAGGGCAACTTTGACAAATCTAAGATTTGGCAGCATTCATGGGACACAGTGCACAGAATAGATTTTTACAATACAAAATTTATAATGAAAGATGTGATAGGCTCTAAAATAGCGATGGGAACTATCGAATGAATTAGACTATCGAATGGTTACTGAATGAATGATTTCAACTATCGAATGGCTTTATTCGAATAAAATAATTCATTCATTTGTATACTAAGTGACAACCTCGCCGTGCGACTAAATGGTTATCGTTGCGCCACGAGCCACGACTATCGAATGTTTTTGATAAATGAAATTTAGTATTCGTTTGATTTTTGTGTGCGTCAGTGGCATTATTAGTTCTTCCAAATTTTTATAACTTCGCCTTGTAAATACTATGCTATTTTTGCGTTTATTAAAATATTTAAAATATAAAATAGTAGTTTTTTTTTAATTGACGATTGTGTGCGAAGTGGTCAAAATTTTTCCGAAAATTTGTGTGATTTTCCGTAGCCCGATATTTCAATTATTTAATTTTATATGGTCTATTATGGTTAGGTTAGATTGCATTTTTTAATGGGAAATTTTGAGAAGTAACAATTTTGAAGAGATGAAATGAACAATTAATTTTAAAAATACATATTTGTATTTTGGATGTTTTAATAATATGAATTAGTTGAACTTAATAATCATATTTAAGTAATGTCACAAGTAATGTGGTTAAGTAAATGGTTATTGAACTCAAATTTTGGGGTGAGAAAATTAAATTGAAAGTTTTACACGTGCCAATTTAAAAAAAAGTTAACAATGTTTGTATTTTATTTATGCTAATTCTCTTACATGTAGTTTTTTGCGAATATTTCATTTATTTTTTAAAGTAAATGCCAGTAAAAGTAAATATTATTTTTAAATAGTAATATAAAGTAATAAAAAGTAATATAAATAATTTTGATTTCTAATTTTTTATTTATATTTTCCTTCCATTACACTGCATACTTAGAAAATTAATAAATGTTTATATTTCATGATTTTAAAATTTGTTGTTGATATAACAAATTAGTTCTGTAACTATTATTATTTAATAAACCAACGTTGCTATTTAGAGACTATATTATTTTTAAATAGGATCTAATATAAATACTTTTGACTTCTATTTGTTGTTTATATTTTGCTACTACTTAAAAAAAATGTTTATATTATTAAATGATTTTAAATTTTGTTGTTAATAGGTATAACAAATTATTACTGTTATTATTATTTATTAAACCAGTCTTTGCTTAAAAACATTAAAAATAATTTTCCTACATCTAAAATAAAAAGTATTATTGCAGTGTAATAACAGAATATTAATAAAAAAATGCAAAACATTAGACATACTATCCCTAACTAACTAATCCTAGAGCATAATATTCTTTGCTAATACCAGGGTTGCCATATTTAGAAGAAGAAAAAGCGGGACGCACTGAATGACCGCCGGAGGTGAAAATGTTTGGGTGCCACGCCCAAAAATGTTTATTTTAATATCTTAAATAATAATTTATTGAGGGATTGTGGTATAAAAAATGTTTTAAAATGAAAATACACAAGCACTAAACGAAAAATATAATAAACATATTAACATTATTTATATTTTATTAAAAAATAAGATAGTATATAGGTAGGTAGTTGTTTTTTTATCAACAAAGGGGATAATATAAAGTTAACATGATTGCTAAGAAATTATAATAAATGCTGACGATAACCACTATTACCGATTATTCTCAGGTCCGTACTCAAGAAAACCCCCTCGATGATGGCCATTTTTTGTTACCAGACGTCTGTAAAATATATTTTAAAAAGTCCGTATTAAAAAAAAAATTAAATAAGTTGGTATCGATATCTGAACAGCTATACATTTGGTGAATTTTCCAAGTAGCATATTTTGTAGAAAAAAAAAAAATATAAAATTTGTGCACAAAACTTATGATTCTATAATTATTAATAGTTTTTGAGTTATTTTTTTAATAAAATAAATGTTACACATTTTGTACATATTTCCCTGTATATTGGAAACAAATGAAATTTTGGCAACTCTGTAAACGTAACTTTATTGAGCACAAAAATGCGCAACTTTTTCTAATTTAACAAACCTCGTATCTTTTTGGTGGATTATTCTGTATATGAAAATAGTTTAATATACCTACCTCTCTTTTTCTTTTATTTTTTTGCAAAATGGAACACGCAGCCGCCGCTGTATTTTCCAGGGAAAAGTTCTTGATTTTTTTAACATCGTTAACACCGTTGTCAAATTCTCGGGAATTTCCGTCATTGACGACATTGACCACATCATCTTCAAAAACACCACAATTTACCCCTAGCCAGTCAATCTCATCAGAGGACACTGAGGAATCTGAATCCATTTTGTTGCAAAAAAAAAGAATTAACCTATAATTATATAATTACGTATAATATTAAAATGTACGTAATATGCAGCAAATTAACTCAACATAACGCGTTTGATCTCGGGTAAAGCACTCACTGCACGGACCACGGACACGGAGCAAGGAGCAAGTACACCTTCTACCTTCTGTGAAGTACACCAAACACCAAAGTACAAGTACACCACAGAACAGAAGTACACTACAACAAGGTCTTTTAAAATTAAAGACAAAAGACCTTGCGACAAAACGTAAGCGACAAGCGACTAAATCCCGTGAAAGAAAAAGAAGAGAGAAAGAAGAATCAGTAGGAATGGCAATGATGCATCGATATGTCATGTATTTAAACCGTCGATACTTGAAACGGTGAGGCGAACACGAGGCGATAACAGAGTTTACGCATGATGCCATTGTCTCCTACTATAGTGGCGAAGGAAGATTTTGGGAATTTGAAAGCAGAGAACGAGATGCGGGACAAATCGGGACAGTCTCGGGCCGCGGGACATATCGGGACACATCGATTAAAATCGGGACAGTCCCGCCTAAATCGGGACGTCTGGCAACCCTGGCTAATACCAACTAATACGAATATATGGCAACAGCGCCCTTCATAATGTATTTTCTTTGTAAATACTAGCACCTCAATAAAAAAAATAATGTGTCCTTATCTTTATTTGACTCCGCAAAAAATCAAAGATGCCGGCTTCTTTCATAGCATTGCCACCGACCGCTGTCGGGTTTCTAGGAAAGAAACCTAACTAAAATCCAGTTTATATTTCATTAAAATCGATCCTGACGAATAAATGAATTTGATAAATGAATGAATTTTATAAATTAATGGTTTTTGCTGCCGAATTACTAGAATACAATATTTCAAGGCAGATGAGGCATCTATTCGATAATTTTTATTCGAATAGTTTTCGACGAATGTTTTCTTACTAGCTATCGAATTATTCGAATGAATTGCAACTATCGAATGTTTCGATAGTATTCATTCGATAGTTCCCACTACTACTCTAAAAGAAAAATAAAAGAGACTTTTTTAATACAATCTAATAAAAATAAATGTATTGCTCATGCATCTGTAGATGTTAGTAATGTATGGCAATCGCTTCTTTGATTTTAAAGAACATAACATAAATAATCATAACATGCCTAAAAATTATAAACAATTTAAAAATAATCATACAGAAAGTTTGAACCTTTTTGGGTTTATCTTATATTAAGTAATTAGATGTTATCAGGTAGTAATTGTTAATTTTGAAGTTTAACTTGGATATAATGCCATTTTAACAGAACGTCAACGGTTTGTGTAGACGTATCTGTTTTAAAACATCTAAAGTGTTCTCGAATAGTCGCATTTAGATATTTTAAACAGTTTTTTTCTTTGTTCTTTGTGTTTTTTGCTTTTGACGACGGAAAGAGATATACTTTCCGAATCGTTAAGCATTTTTTTGTCCGTTAGGCAAATTTGTTTATTAGTAAGCCACTACTGACAATAGGTCTGTCAACAAAATTTAGTTTTCTACTGCAAATTATAAATTTGTACATATTGAAAGACCGTACAAAGTTTGAAAACAAATACTCATATACTTTTCGAGTTATTCGTAATTCAATTTGAATCCTTTCGTCGAGGCGGGAAAACGCTGCCACGAGAGCTACCATGGGTGTGACGTCACATGCTCGCTAATCGCGCGTAGCATAGACAAACAGAAAAATTAAAAGACTGCCAGAAGACATACGACGCGCAGGCAAATGTACCTGTAGCGCATCGACGCAAGTGCCGAAATACGTCCATCTAGCTATCTGTGTTTCGACACTAGTCCGTTAGTCTTAGCATATTCAGAAAGAACACGCTAACCTCCAGCGTTGCCAATTTGTGGGGAATTCCCCAAATTTTGGGGAATCCGGAGCCGATTGGGAGTTTTGTGGGGATTTTAGCAATAGGGGGTGAAAATAAGGGGAGTTTCAACATTTTATTGCTGATTGAAAATGGCGTAAAATTTTTAGCTTTAAAAACGGAGCGGGACGATATATCTTTCCCAACTTAAAAATTATAATCTGCTTTTTACTTGTGCTTCCCTTTGCAAATGCTTCAGTTGAAAGAAAATTTAGTGACCTCAAATTATTTAATGACTACTAGGGAAGGGATTAAAAAACAAGGAGGTAATTTACAGTTTAATCTCTCTAACATATATATAATAAATATTGTATTTTTATTAAAATTATTTTTTTTTTGTTAAAATAATCATATGGGGAATTTTTGGTGAATCGGGACATTTTTCTCCCCAAATTGGCGAATTTTATTTAGATTTTTGGGTAGTTTAGAAAATTGACATTGGCAACGCCTCTAACCTCATTCTTTTGTTTGTTGTTTGTTCAAAAAGCGGCACGCGGCGTAGTACAAGGCTTGATCATTTTTTAAGAAATTTTTGATTGTTAATTTTATTTTCTGCAACTAAACAGTTGTTTTTTATTAAAAAATAGCAGACAAAGGTAAGAAAGGTAATGTCCATGCAGAAGTTTTTATTTCACAGGCTATTCTTTCTAGAAATTATACCATCCAGCCCTCCTATTTAATTATTAAATAAAAGTGTGAAAGAGATATCAAGGGCTATTCTGTTAAAATGTCATCCGACCAGTCTAGGCCCTGTTGTGAACCAGAAGGTGTGCTAAGTTGGATGTTGGATATAGAATGGAAGGAATATCATGGCCGAGAACAAGGCATAATTGTATGTCCCTTGATGTAGGGGGGTAGGTTTGTTTCGAATAGGCAGTAAAACCAAAAATTCTACTGTGAATCTTCATATTCTAGGCCTGTAAAGGTAAATAATTCCTGGAGCCATCTCGAGGTATAGTACTCAAGTCGGAGCGAATCAATTGATAGCACGATGAAAAGAAATAATAGCCAGCATAAAACTGTAAATATGTATATAACTAGTACTATGTAGCTATTTAACTGTAAGTACAATGTAGCTAGATATTAGTAGAATAGGGGTATTATAAATTAATACAAAATACAATAATTGGTCATTCTTTCCATTCCCATTCAATTCTTCCCATTTAATCGTTTTCCCATAAAAAAAGGAAAATTAAAATTAAGAGTGCCCTTAACCAAAAATAGTGAAATAAATGGAAATAGTCAAATTTTATATTAGCGTGTAAGACTTTGAATAAAAAGGTGTAAAAGGATTATAAATGCTGTATTTATATCCTTTAGTATCATGATAATATAAAAAATTTGAGTAGGTATCTCCATTTATATCACTGTTTTTGGTTAAGGGCACTCTTAGTTTTAATTGCCTTAAAAATAATAAGTATAATAATAATTTAAATCTCCCGCTCTTTCATAGTTCGTACCTGTAGCCAAGTAGAGGGCGCTAAAAGCGCAATCTCCCAACATTTTACCACGCGATTCACCACTCTCTAAACTATTAACTTTCTCTATGGCGCGTAGCGCTTTACCAGAGACATAACAGACGGATCCGTTGCGCCGTTTTCTTGTATCCCTGTCTAGATTTAATTAGATTAGTTAGATATAGTTGTAGTCAAGTTTTATCTGTACTACAAGTTACGCCACTGTATTCAGAATTATTTGTACCGATTCTGTTTTACGCTTAGTCATAAACGACCCTTGAATTATTATTAGTCGATGGAAAGTCCTTATTGTAAAATTATATAGCCTCTGTTCAGACACGTTTGTATTTTACGCAAACAAAGGATCTACTAGGTATAGTTTTAACACTTAATCACACTTTTTAATTCAATTCAGTTCCAAGATGTCGCTTTTTACTCTACTTTTCAACACGCACTTTACTTTTTACCTCTCTAAGTTCCAGACAGTTCAGAGTCGGCAATTTTTATATAAATTTTATATATTCAAATCTTTCCATTCAATTTCGAATGTCTTTTTACAATGTACAGTTCACCGACTGCTTGGAAATTGATTGCTTCTGTTCAACAGGCGCTGACTTGGTTCGAGTATAAAGAGTGTAACACTATAAAGTATTTGATATCATGTACCCCCTCCTGATGGTTTCATAAACTTTATATCTTGTGGGTATGGAGGACGCGCAAGCGATGTTGCAATTTTTGAAGATTGTGGATATTTAAAAGTTCTTCCAGAAAATTGCGTTATTATGGCAGACCGAGGTTTTAAACAAAATGAAACATCCCTAAGGGAAAAAAATGTACATTGATCAGACCTCCAAGTGTTATAAGTAATGTAAAAATGACCAAGGATGACGTTCTGTTTACAAAACGAATTGCAAGTGTGCGAATACATATTGAACGTATAATAAATCGCTTGCGACATTTTAAAATGTTAGGACCCCACTCTACTATTTCTTCAGCAATGGTTCAAAAACTAGATAACATAGTTAGTATTTTCTGTGCCATAATAAACTTACAAAAACCCATTAAGATTATACTATGTATGTTTCTAAATAAAACAATGGTTTCCTAAACGATATTTTTATTAAGATCTTAAATGTTTATTCAGTAAAAACTGCATACAGTAATTTAAAAATGTTGGTTTTGTGACGACTTTTTCTGTCATCACTCAAACAGAAAGAAAAAGGTATCCGTTGCTCAGGGTTAGAGGAGAGCTGGGTTCGTAGGTAAGGCTTGGGACCTGTGGTGACTTAATAATGTTGTTAAATAATAAAATAAAAGTAATAATGTATAGGCTGCAAAGATTCTAAAATTGATGTTAAGTATTCAAATAGTAATGGTCAAAGACAGAAAAGGGCGCCACTCACTTTGGGTATGAAAAGGTAAAGTAAGAAACCAGTAAGAAAAATTTGATCATGAAATAGCTAAAATAAAATAATCAACAGCAATAAGGGTCTATTATGTTCATCAAGAATAAAAAGTCAGATATAACTATCCTACGTGAACATTTATTTAAAAACGAACACAATTATCAATCAGTTTAAACCCAGTTTCAATTATCCCAATGAAATCGTTAGTTGCTTTAAGTAAACTCAAATTTAGTTAAAGTTCTCTTCAGTATACTATACTACGTAATATATAAACAGGTGAAATTTATGTAAGTACCAATACGATGATGTTTCGAAACAAATCGTGTACAATAACCTTCAAAAATGAATCCGTGTTAGCGATTCTCACATAAAAGATCATACTGAAGTAAAACGTACCGTTAAGGACAAAGCATGACTTATAATGTTAACTAAAAGGTAAATTTTGACTATAATATATGGAATAAATGACAACAATTCACAGAGATATTCAAAATATTATCTCAAAGTAAAAAAAATTTAGGGAATACCTTGTGTGTTGAACTTAGAACTTATCTGTATTTTTTTTTTAATTTATGACGTAGTGAACAGATAGGCAGGCAGTCTCCAGACTAACGGAAGTGGATGTAGACTCTTCGATAGTAGCAGGAGTCTTCGATATCAGTAGAATAAATGTAGAGTCATAAATACTGTCTCAAAAGTGGTTACTCATATGCCAATTACTTATACGTCAATTTCTTATACGCCAGTTACTCTATATAAAAAAACTCTCAGAACAGTCACCGAATACCAAAAAAAACTTACGGTCTGAAAATCAGCTGTACACATTCCAAAATATAGCCAAACTATATGCTGATCCAAACCAGTAATGCACAATCAAACATTATCAAAATAAATAAAAACGGAATAACTGAATTCTAAATTTAGTTAGACATGGCGATACAAAATGGTAGATACACTTACTGTGATCTTATTCCAGGAAAAGGCCAAAAAAACACGAACTAGGCTCTGAACAGTATATTCTACGGATTTCAAATCTCCACTTTTGGATACCCGTGCCTTTACTGTTAGGAAAAGTGTTTCAGAAAGCCCTTTTTCTCTGAGATTCGTCGGACGCTGAACCACGCGTCTTTTTCTGATCTCCTTCTCTCGGAAAAAACCTCCTTCCTCCTTTTCGCAAAACGGAAGTCTTCCAATTGACAGGTCATATGACCAAAGGCAATTAAGTGAACTCTATCGTCTATACTGAATGAAATTTGTTTTTATGGAAAGGAACCGCTACCTGTACTGAATGAAGTTTAACATCTAGCGAATAGATGGCGCCAGCAATATTAAAATTTGGAATTTTATAAAAAGAAAAATAAAACGCTACAGTTTTCCAAAAGTGTATGGCAGAGTCAATAAGACCTTTTGTAAAATCGTCATCATATTTAACGTTGATAACAGTAATAATTTCCTTGCCTTTGTAGTTTCAAAATTGGGGTGTGCTACGCAAAATATTCCCTTTTCAACACCTCTTGCTAACATTTGCAGATTTATTTGTGCTAAGTATTTTTCCCTATTTCGTTATTGTTATTAACATATTGTAAAAAGGCTTTAACACCACTGGATTCAACTTGCTTTGAGAAACTCAAATACCATATTGACATCTACCTGCGGTAAACTATGTGAATCTCCTTTCTGGAAACCCTCCTCCATATTTAGCAACAAATACAACGTCTTTTACGGTATTCAAAACAACAAAAATAATAATGTAACTGCTGTAAATGTCGACTGTACTTCAATACCTTGTATTGAAGTGCATTGAGTGTCACAGTCAAACTGAATCACGGTCTTGCCGTCGCAAGTCGAGCAGCGTGCGGCAGGCATGTGACATCAGGCCAATGAGAGCGCGTTTATTTAATTTGAACGGAGCGCATAACTTTAATAGTCTCTCTTGTCAAAGGAGTTTTTTTTTTGAAAAAAAAAGTTATTTAATTGGTATTATAATACTAAAACATTAATATTTTACCGCTTTTAGTGCAATTTTTTTTTAGCGAACAGACCTATTGGTCTCCGTTGAATTAACCCTTAACTGGTCCGGCGTCTTCTGACAGACTACGCCAAATAATTAACTGAGTCTCATTAGTTACTGGGACCGCCCACACGATTAACGTTCTAGCTAATCCTGCCCCTCTAGGTCAACAATTAATAGCCATATTTGTGTTCAAGCTGGATTAGTTTTTTAGAAGTTCTGGAAGAAGTTACTGAAGCCGTAGTCTCGCAGACGACGCCGGACCGTTTGTGTAATATTTTATGTTTGACAAATTTTTGTAAAATATGACCGAGTCTTCTAAAGATTGCATTTAGGAGACTCTAGTTATGAGGAAACTCTATTAAAATGATATGATGAGGACTGTGACCAACTGTGAGAGTGACAATATGACAATCTGCCAGACAAATGCGTTTGACAATGTCAAGTATTCCACGTAGAATACTTGCAATTCCTGTACAACCCGAAGACGCCCACTGGAGATATTTTTATCCTAGAGTTCTTATCCTAGTCAAAGACAATGTTATGTCCTAGTTAATTATTTTTAACGCCTGGAATGTACGAATCCATTATTTAAAACATGTTCAGGAAAACAATTTAATTCGCTTCATGTAACTAAAAACGTTTTCTTTAACTCCAGTTTTATAACTTATTTTTTTACCATATAATATTAAAAACTTATTTCTATACTGTAATGACTGTTAGTAATTTGGTTTTATTTTTAGAGTTTAGTAGAAACCTATATTGTTTTTTTTTCAAATTTATATGTATGTTATTTTATTTTGTACTATATTTTCTGCGTGTTTGTATTAATTGAACTCATTTTTGTCTAGATTAGTTTAAAAATACATAATGTAATATATAATGAAGTAAAAATTGTTATTTTTTAGTTTTTGTGTGTTTTTTAACGTTTTAGGAAGGCGTAGTCCTACAGACGACGCCGGACCGTTTATGATACATATCTGTTACCGGACCAGTTAAGGGTTAGCACAACAGTGTTTACAAAAAATAACTGTTTTATTTTGTAGATTTTCTTACAGCGGCGAAATACCCATAGGACTTGGAAAGATGAAACCGCCACACAGAGATACAGACACATTTTTTAC